AGTTTCTGAGATTGATTTCATTTAATTCTTACAAAGGAATAGAACACCCTGGCAGCATCTGAGATTGGTTTTTATTCAGAATCAGGAGGTGTTAATAGAAAGACAAAAAGAAGCATGCTATGTTGGCGCTCGGTAAGCCAAATGGGAAAGGGGCGGGGTAGAGGATGCACCTGAATTAGGCAACGAGGACTACAGGGCTCAGGTTCTCTGGGAACGCTAATAGAGAAGAGCATAATCTTTAAAGATATCGACATCGAGTATTTACTGGACTTGGTTATCTATAAGACTTTTATTCGAGTCTTTACGTAAGGCTGAGGTGGTGTAGCGGCAAGTGGAGCGTATCACACACGCACGGCCCCATGCTTGAATCCCGTATCGACATCTGCATAGGCTGCCCTTGCCTTCCATCCCTTGGGGTCGGCTAATTGGACCAGACTTAGTGAGAGGATGAAAGCACTGGCTATACACCGGGTTCATCGCAATTCATTCGAAGGCCTCGTAGCCATTCAAAACGTCACAGCAGCTCTGGGCAGTAGCCAAATGCAGGGCGCATCTCAAAAAAGGGGTGAATTAATCCGAAAGTCTCAGAATTAATAACAAGTGCAGATATAAAAAATAGCCTGCTGATGAATGAAGTTCCCTCACTTGTCAGAAAACCACGGAAGCGCTCATGAGTCATTCTGATGTCTGAGTGGTGAAAGCTTCAGACTGAAATATTCTTGACAAATAGTAACTTACCAGTTTAATTACAGCTTTACCATCTCAATCATTGCAGACGTCGACCACTTCGACGTTGTTCAGTCTGTTGTTTGATCGTTAGCCTCGAGAACCGATAGCGACATCCTGAAATAGTCAGATTCGAGCTAACCTATACCTGTCCAGGGTTCCCAACCCTTTCATGAGCTGAAGGTACTTTCGAGAAAAGGGAATGATCAACAGCTCGGTGTATAATTGTAATCAGTGGCTTATGGGGGATGTTTAGTTCCTTTTATGAGAGAACCCGAAAAACCGAAAATGTTTGCCATTCGGGAGGGTTAGCCGGGAGAAGAAAATTTCAAAAAAAAAATGTCGAAAACTATGTGTAACCCATGAATAAATTCTGAAGGGATATACAGAAGAAAAGTTTTCTTTTGTTCAAAAGAAAGGCGCATCATCGAACCTTTTATCAACGTCACGGGCTCTCTGTTTGTCGGAACACTTCCCCACAAATGGTCTAGTCTGTGTATCATGGAAAACAAAAAAATCAGATTTTTTCGGTAAATACTTCGTATTTCTTTTTTTTTTTTCGAGGCCGATTTCTTCACTCTATGAAAATGATGTTAGGAAGCTCAACGGATCGTTCCATCCTAGAAAGGTAAGCTTTATTGACTTTTTTCAACTTCCTCATTGACGATTGCGCACGTTGTTGTTCACGGTGAAAGCAATTTGTCAACATCATGTCATGTTGGCTGCTGCCCGTCCTCAATGACATACTCATCGCTTCATCATATTTCAACGCTCCTTCGAGACATTCACGGGCAATTCAACATTCGCCGTGTTTTTGACTTTGTGGAAAAAGTAAACAAACATGACATGACATCGAACGATGACCGAAAAATTGCTGGCAATAATTCTTCTAAATGTTGAAGAAAAACCGCATTGAATGGACTCTATATCTGCGATTGTGTCTTCCATGGATCTATAGGGCATTTGTCTTTCACTAACTTCAGCGGCAGGGAATCGAAAATTACTTCAGAGTCACTCAGTAAATAACTCAAATAATTAAGAGGTTATTACATTCCCTGTGGCGTAAATGGCTAAAGTGCAAAAGCTGATAAAACTCGAGGAGGACTACTAATAAAAGCATAGAAAAATTACAGATCAAACCAAAGTTTTCCAAAATAATCGAAAACTGATTAGATAAGGATAAAGGATAAAGTTTTTGGCGTTAATCAATCCCGTCTGAGGGATGCGCCCCCGCACTCGACTTCTATTCAGGATCGTAGTGGCGTAATGAGTGCGTATATGGCCTATACAATGACTTGCGGTGGCCAGCCGATGTACAAGTCAGTGCTTTTATCCTCCCAGACGAGTCTGGTACCAATTCACCGACCCCAGAGGGATGGAGGGCTTGGTTGGCCTAGGCGGGCATCGATCCAAGCCTTCCATCCCTCCGACAAAAACTGATTAGAACACTTTCTAAATTAAAATCAAACTGAACATTCGGCTCCGTTAAAGTTTCTTGATTTTGGACTAAATGAAAATTTATTCAGTTCTGAACACATGAATAGAAAAAAATTCAGAAACAGATTTCAATTTGCTCTTTTGTAGAGAGGGGCCATTTACGTGATGTTTTAGAGAGTTGAAAATGTGACAAAATTGTAACCGATGCCTCATCAGGTTTACCCACAATTCAAATTAATTTTATTTCATTCAACACACTGACTATCTCGAGATTATTTCAATGCTCATATTTTACAAATGAAATCAATTTTTATAGCGTTTCACTCTGCATTGAAGATATGAAAGAACTTTATTCTCAAATTCGAAAAAAAAGAAGGCGTGCGGTTTTACTATCGACCCAAACGAAATCGCTTACATCATGTTATTCGATTTAGTATTACACTTTTTGAATTATTTATATTTAAATATTTTTGCTCGAAAAAATTCTTCCATTTTCCTTGATTAATCATCGTATTTCAAGCGAAAACTTTCTCTTCAAAAGTGATTCAATGGATTCTTCGAAGAAAATGCAGTCAGATCTGCTTTTAAAGTGCCAATAAAGACGCTGGATAATATTTTCCATGATTGCCTTTGCTTTCACTATACGTTCTAATAAGTAAATAAACAACTAAATATTTACAGCAAGTACGCTGTAACCTTAAGGGATTGCAATTTTATAAATGCTCATATNATCATTAGTTATCATATCATAGACGAGAGTCTACAGATTGTTTTCTCAGCATTTTTTCTTTTTTGTTTCCTTGGCCCGACTTGATTCTTCAAACTTCTTTTAGGAACGAGCGCGAAAAAACTGTTCATTAGTCATAAAATACAAATGCAACCCGTTTAGGTGAATGCGGTTCAGCAAGTAACCACATCACTCACGCTCCGACCTGTTTCACAGAAGTTTTTCCATGGGAAGACACCACCACAACTTCAAAGGGGACGTTTTTTCTTCTGCCATGTTTACCGAGCGAAGTAAACAAATGTTGTGTACTTCACCTGCCACTAAGTGATTTGTGACGCAGACCTACATCTTTCCTCTTCCTGTCTCGTTGGGTAATTGTTCGTCGTAGGATTGCATAAGGAACTGGGTAAGATTCGCTCAGGGTCGACCAAACTTGTTCATGTAATGCCCTATGCTTCCTGCATCAAGCCTAAAGTTAGAGAGCATATAATCCTTACAGTAACCAACCAAATGGTGTTATACGCACAGTATCCAGCCAATCAGCCCTTTTGTTTCCTCGGTAAGGCAGATAACAACGATTCATCCTTCTAACTTATGGTTAGGGTTAGAGCGGAGGTATAAGGTGTCAGGGAGCTACATATCACACTCATAGTCCAGGGACTGCCTCTCAGATTGATACCCTTCTCCACACTCTTATGTCTGATGGCAAACAAAGCTTCCTCCCCTTCGGGGCCGGTTAATTTGTACCAGTTCGTCTGGGAGAATAGCTCTGACTTGTACGTACGCATTCAACAGGCCACTATGATTGTAAATGGAAATTGGATGCAGGATGCATCACTAAAATAGAATGGATCTAGCCGAAGGAATACACGATGGCTGATGAATGATAGATGTTGATATTCGATACTCGTAACTGCTAATATTTCGACTAAATCGATCTATATCCTGTAAACAGGTAGAAAAATTACTTCGGTAACATCTTCGGGCTGAGGTTAGCAGCTGACGAAGAGGTTTTGCAAGAAAAAAGAGATGAAAAAAAGATCGCTCGAAAAATCATTTCAATCGTAAGCTTTATTTAAAGTCGGCTGAGAGGCTAAGGTATTCACTATGGTTGTAACATGTACCCAGTTTTTCCAACGTTGAAATCAACTTTCGATTGAAAACTAGCCAAATACCCGTTCCGTCGGGATGATTCACACNGGAATACACAACAGCTGTTGAAGGATAGATGTTGATATTCGATACTCGTAACTGCTAATATTTCGACTAAATCGATGTATATCCTGTAAACAGGTAGAAAAATTACTTCGGTAACATCTTCGGGCCGAGGTTAGCAGCTGACGAAGAGGTTTTGCAAGAAAAAAGAGATGGAAAGAAGGTTGCTCGAAAAATCATTTCAATCTAAGCTTTGTTTAAAGTCGGCTGAGAGGGTTAGGTATTTATCATCGTTGTAACATGTGCCCAGTTTTTCCAACGTTGAAATCAACTTTCGATTGAAAACTAGCCAAATACCCGTTCCGTCGGGATGATTCACACCCTTTATGGCGCCACGGATAATCGTTGTCTGTCACAACACGGATCAGCCAGTTCTTGGCTATGCAACGTTGCTATACGTTCGCCCTTGCTATTGTGATTTTCGCAAACGGTAGGTCATCGTTACATCATTTTACATTGCTTCAAAAATATTATGGCGATTTTCGAGCTTGCTCTACATAATCTACATTTATATTTATTAAATGAAGGATAAAAGATAAAGTCTCTGGGAGTTGATCAATTTCGTCTGGGAAATGGGCTCCCACATTCGGCTTCCATTCAGAATCGTAGTCATGTATTGAATGCGTATGTGGCCTAAACAGCGACTTGTGGTGACAACTGAAGTCAGGGCATTCGTCCTTTATCCTAGGCGATTATCGATCTGGGATTGAAACTCGTGACCATGTAGGTGTGATAGCAGACCACTTGCCACTACACCACCCTCGCCCGCGTTCATTCAATATTGTCATCATCTTTGCGATGAATTTTTGAATGAAATAGAAACTCTTGAAAAAACCTTTGGAAGTGCTTATCTGCCTAGCTAACATCTTGGTACTATACATAATCCTCGTCATGGAAATGTTCGTAACTGTCACTTTCTCATAGAAAAATTTTTTTGAAGACTTTTCACGTTCTCTGCGTTTTTCCTTCCTTAAGATTCACTCAGTTATTATTTTGAATTTCCTATTTCTATCTTAGCGGTCCTTGCAAACTATTCAAGTTAATTGATCCACGAAGTTGTAACGCTAAGGACCTTTTTCTCTGGTCGGATGACTTGAGTTTTTGGTCGCGAAGGTCCCATGACAATGAGAAAATAATTTTTCGAGATGATCCAGAAGAGAAACCCCTACATGGAGTGTTCTCTAATCTTCAAGTACTTCCTTTTTCAGCTCAATTCAACATTCCTATTCCATTTGGCAACATTGGCTTGAAAAAAGGAGACGATGGTAATGTTAGTTTCATTCATTGATTAGTTCTGTTGAATCAATTTTTATCTGGGCTAGAGTACAACGACATCAAATTCTCAAATTTCAAAATTTTGCTTAAAAATGATTTTTTATTACAATATTTACTTTCTTTACATACTTTTTGCTGACTCTACTTTTCTATTTATTCTTTACTTTTTTTTTATTTTTTTGCTGTGTGGTTGATGTTACGAGTCAGCCCCGACAAAAGCGCCTAATGACTTTTCCAAAGAGCACCCAAAGTAAGCCATCTTCTCATGATCAGTTTCGATACAGCAATTTCTTAAAGGCAATGTTCGCGCTGATTCAATGGGCGGGTGTGTCGATGACGTGTCCGCCTCTCATTCGATGTCACGTCAGACAGTTTGACGAGGCGTCGAATGAGAGGAGGACACGTCATCGACACACCCGCCCATTGTATCATCGCGAACAGTGCCTTTAAGTACCTTTCAAGTAGAACTTTTTGTATGGAAAGTATAGTTTTGAAATTTATTCAAAAAAGCAAAAAAATTTTAACCTAACAAATATTCAGATCAGAGTCATCTGATCCCTCCCTTCTCCCTTGGGTACCTTTGATCGCAACTGTGAGAGTACGCCTACTAAAAGAGGAAAATTTCTTGGGCACCATTCAGTCCCTCCGGTCTTTATTGATCCCAGTGTAATACTTAGACTCAAAATTGGTAATTCAACATGATCTGCTCGCAACGCTTACGCTACGCCTGGTTAGCATAATATCGGGACGGAGTAGATGGTGCATGCTCGCTTTTCTAAGTGTCATCTCCTAATTTCAGTTGGAAATCACATCAAATGAAGGTTTTGACTTATTCGGCTACGGTGGAATGCGCAAAACGAAGTTAGTGACAGGAAATGGAACGTTCTATATTGAAAGTAAGGAAGAGTACTTCAAATTGAGGAAGGTACTGAATTCTGAGGTACAGATTGTTTTCAGAAGAGGATGCAGCACTGGTGAATGGTAAACCGTTTGGTGGATCGGGTGCCTTTAGTTTTGACAAGGAGAAGGGTATCGATATTGGACAAAACGTCACACTTGGCAATCAGACAGCTGTGGTTAGTTTGTTCATTTACTTTCGACCATGATTAGCCCCACGACAACTTGGTGCTTGATAATATAATATGCCAAGTAAAGTGGTATATTAGCATGGTGTTTAAAGGCGCCGCTACTGAAGACCTTAGCCGAGAATCGAGTTCACTACTGGGACTTTCCATAGCCTATCATCCCTATCAATCTCTAAATTATGGGATTTCTTTGGATGAAAATAACTGACACGCGTTTTCCCTATGGCAGACCAATTCCGTAGTCTAAGCCAGGAAAGCACATAACTCATTACTGCAATTCTGAATGAAAGACCAATACGGGGCGCAACCGCCAGGGACCAACCAACCCAGAAAGATTACTATTTACTTGATTCGTGTCACGACAAACATATACATCACGAGAGGGACTTTCGCCTATACTGTACTATGCAATGCCCACCAGATGCAACTACAATTTCATTACAAGCGAAGGCCTTTAAAGGTTGGATAAGTAGGATTTGATCCTTAACACCCACTTCACGCCCCAATCTTTGACTCATTACATATTAGTATAGCCATAGTGATGTCGAAAAACGGAAGCTTTTGTTTTGCTTCACTCCAGCAAACTCTATTGTGGATATTCAGGGTGGTCCTGGACGAGAAACGAACTTCCTTGCTGATCTACTGTATGCAATCAAACAGCTTATACCGAAGCCGTCTCCATGATCTCCTTGCCATTACCTTTTGTTCCCCAATTATAAATCTTTTTTAAATATGATCAGATTCGGTTATTGAAATTATTTATAATAAATGTTTCTTGAAAGTAATCGCTTCGATAAAGACGTCTCAAAAAATCGGGTAGTGTCAATGAAGATTACAGCTGGGAGTTTATTAGTACTAAAGCTGTAAATGGGAAGTGGGCCCTTGTAAATAATGAAAGTATAGAATACAATTACAAAATGTAGAAATAAAATGTGGATCACGCAAAAAATTTGACCCTAATTGGAAGCACAGCCTTGCTTAAGGGTCGAGCAACTCGTCCAAGCAAATTGCTCACTAACACGAGCTTCTCTCTAGCCGAAATTGGGTCTCAGTTCCACCTTCTCCAAATATGGAGCATAGTAACGCCTTCATAGGCCCGGTTCCATATTTTTTACTTGAGCTTT